ATACATCTTAGTGGAATATGGCCAACACCAGGGAATATTCCCTAGACCAGGGAAAAGTTGTTTTTAACTGCAAAGGTGGTTCTCTTCCACCAAGCAAACAGCTTCGGAACACAGGTACTTGGATCAGTGGGGCAGGAAAAAATCACTTCTGAAGCCAGTTGACTCTGCTGCGTGGAGACCCTTTTGTGCGGCTTTGGTATCTGCTTACTTTGTTCTCCATCTCTTTTTCTTGTCCTCCTCTTCTTCCCCTTCACTCCCCAAACATTATTAGCATTTATTCACCAATAGTAAATATTAAGCTATTAGTTTTGTCTGTCTTTGTCACTCTGTGCCTTTGTATGTTTCTTTCTGTCTTCTCCCCAGGTGATCCAGCTGATTGAAAACTTCAGTTGTCTCTTTTCTTAGACTCACTCTCATGTTCCTGGAGTACCGTGGACATACAGTATAGTGTCTCGTTCACATTTGAGTGTTACAATTCCTGATATTTTTCTTTTTTAGGAATCACATCTTAATTGTTTCTACCTCTAACTACCACTGTGCACAATGCCTGGCACACAGAAGTCAGATCATAAATACAGTTGGCCCTTGAACAACATGAGGGTTAGGGGTGCTGCTCCTCTATGCAGTTGAGAATCCACATATAACTTTTGACTCCTCCAGTACTAACAGCCTACTGTTGGCCTTACTGATAACAGAAACAGTCGATTAACACATATTTTGTATATTATATACTGTATTCTTATAGTAAAGTTAGCTAGAGAAAAGGATATATTATCAAGAAAAATCATAAGGAAGAGAAAATATATTTACTTCCACATTAAGTGGAAATGGATCATCATAAAGGTCTTCATCCTTGTTGTCTTCACATTGAGTAGGCTGAGGAAGAAGAGCAAGAGTTGGTCTTGCTGTCTCAGGGGTGACAGAGGTGGAAGAAAAGCTACGTATAAGTGGACCCACACAGTTCAAACCCATGCTGTTTAAAGGTTAACTGTACTTGTTAATGAAATAAGTAAAACTAGATTCCAGTTTAGAAGATGTTTTTTGAGATTTCTACAATAGATTTTCATGTTATTAATAACTTGGTAGGATTATAGAACTGGTTTAACTGAATAGGATTTTGCAAAAAAGTTGTTACAAATAAACCTTTCTTTGTAAATGTCTAAAGTATTTGTAATATTGAGAAAAAGATTTGAAGTGTTGTTTTATCCTCTCCTCTGTATCAAGTGAGTTGGAAAATGAAGCTGAAAATAAGAAGGCCCAAATACTAAATCTTCAACAACATTCATCTGCCCTTGAAAAGGATATTAAATGCAACGAAGAACTTCTTAAAAGGTGCCAAGTACATTATAAAGAATTAAAGGTAAAAAAATAAACATCATTTTGTTTTTCCCCACTTGTCACTTCCAAGTTAATTTTAAGATCCTATCATTCATGCTGAGCAGTAGTTCTCAAACCTTTGGCCTCATGTTCCTTACACTCTTCAAAGAGCTTTCATTTGTGTGGGTTATATCT